GATATTGGTCTGTAGTTTGAGCAGACTGAGGGGTCAAGACCTGGTTTCTTTAACAATGGAGTGACAACTGCATGCTTGAAGGCATCTGGGACCACACTTGTAGTAATGCTACTGTTTATAATATTAAGAATAGCAGGCCCAGTTGATGGTAGTACCTCTTTGAACAATGATGGGGGGATGGGATCAACAGGGGAGCCTGAGGGTTTCATGTGACCAACAACTTTGTTTAACAATGAGAGTGAAATGGGTTTGAACAGTCAAAATGACACTTGAAAAAAACAAAATACTTCATTAGAAGCTTTATATTACATTGAAAAACCAAAAGAATTATTTAAAAGCTTTTATATTATGAGCTTGGTCAAATTTTCTCTGATGTTGTGTTTTTCCTGCAGGATCTAAAGTCTCTGTGTTCAGAAGTTTGATCAGAACTGAACAGAACCATCTCTGCTCCCACTTAACAGGATAAAATTACCAGAACTGCTCAATTATTTAAAGAGTCTAAATCTTCCGATCACTGCACCTATTGAACAGGTGGGTCCCTCAGACAAAATATCAGGTGAAACAAAAGCTTCTCTGAATGTGTGTGTAGCAGCTGTGTGTGTGTGTGTGTTGCAGCCAGCCTGTCTGGTGTCACTGATCTGTGCAGCCAGGTGTGATTGAATTGTGGAAACATGCAACATTAGACAACGTGTCTCAAAAGAAAAGTCCACCAAACTTCATCACAGTTACACGATATTAAAAAAAAACTGAACTGCAGCTTCTTCACACCTAAAGGTTTTTATTAGAAACATCTTGAAGGAACGCATCCTGTACGCCAACATCACCAAAGTTTTATACAAACGTCTCATAAAATCTGATGATGCTCAGGGTTTGTGTGGTGCTCAGTTACAATATGACCAAATTATGACCCAATATGCTGTATTTAGTTGTCTGTAGCAGCCATGTTGAGATYTAATCGTTACTTTAATGGACTTTTACTTAAATTCGTCCAGTGGTTCATGAGATATTTTGCTAAAAGACACGCACACAAGCATTATTGCCACTTTTTACCTTTCGGCAGCAGGTGCAGTCTGAAACTCTTCCTGTTTTTGTGTCAAGAACTTAAATGCTTTAAGATGTTATCGCGTATACTTTTTTTTGTTGCACATTTGTTGCATCTGTTAAAATGTCCGTTAACAAAAACAACTAATCAGACAATCACATGGCAGCAARTGGARYCATTTATTTACGTGAAGAAGATTTGCTGGAGTTCAAACAGCGTTAGAACGAGGATAAAATTGGGTTTAAGTGATTTTTAACCAGATGGGCTGTTCTGAGATTTTCAGAAACTGATGATCTGCTAGGATTTTTTTTTAACACAACTAGCTTCAGAGTTTCCAAAGAATGGTTCAAAAAGAGAATACAATTTTCTGATTGATTTTTAATTGAGGCAAGAAATGTGAAATATAAATGCAGTTCTCACAATTGTTTGGTGTTTTTCTGATTGCATAACAACAAACTGAATAATCAGTATATCACCTTGTTAATGTATCTCGATATATCATATTGTGACCCTTGTGTTGTGATTTATAC